TGTTGAATCCCAAGCAGTGATTTAATTGTTTTTTGCAATAAGGCCTTTTTTTGATTTCGGACCCGTTGCTTCGCGTTGTTTAAGGCCACGTCAAAGGACCTCTGGAATTCTAAAGCCCCTGGAGGAGGAAATTTATCATGTTCATGTAAACTCTCTAAAAAATACTTTAAGTAACAAAATTGTCTAGGAAATAATATTAAAATATAAAACATACATGTCAAAATTACCAAAGTACGGAAAATTCATTTCTTCATGTTCAACCCTCTACGAATAAATTTAAAAAAATTATCCCCTTAGGCTCCTATTCAGAGGGCCATAGCTCCGTTAGGGGGCATTTTTTGATACATGTTTACAAAAAAGTGTTATTTTTCTATGAAGAATGCACTGTTTAAGATTGGCCCCCTAATTTCAGGACACCCTGTATATCTATAGATTTCTTTAAGTGCAGATGTATTCTTGGTTGAGTTTTTCTTGTTTGACAGGTTAACACAAATTGTGTTACACAATTTTTTAAATTAAATTACCTATGTTACGTTTCATTACATTACTTTAAATGCCGGCTAAATCCACCTTTATACTTGATCTAATATTATGATACAAATAGAATTACAATCAGGCTATCAAGAATTATGCTTTATTAAACATTAAGAACTTATTGTAAAATAGTTTGTGATTGGTAACGTTATGTTATGAAGAACTTTAAAAATAAAAAAGAAATATATTTTTAAATTCAATAAAAAAATTGCAATTACCTTGCTCACTTCTAGCACAATAGATCTTAAAACCCAATAAATCCTCTTTTTCCTTCGTGACATAGGTATATAGGTAGAAAATTTATTTTTAAATTGTCCTGCTTGTAGTAAAAGCCTAGTACCTACCCATAAACACTATTTACCTAGAAAAAGGCAGTTATTTTTCTTCACTGCAACTTCAAGATGAAAATCTGTAACAATTAACAAAAAATAAGTACATAATATAAAACTACCAATGTAATTTTATATTACTTCAAAATTAATAAGGGAATAAAATCTTCGAGAAGTAAGAAATTGTATAATAATTGAATGTTTTATTAAAAACTTTAAAAAACATAACCTTAATTACTTACTCAAAATTTAAAGCCGTTTAAAACTTAACACGTTTAGTTAGTGCACAGATGATTATATTTTTTTGTAATAACTATCACACAAGCACTTTTTGACGCCTTTTTGTAGAGAAGGTCTTGAAATATTAACGACATATAACTCGCCATTGCGATTCTTTTTCCATGCTGATCAATTATTTGCCAAGTTTCGATCAATCTGAATTACAAACGCTTTGCCAATTTTCGACCAAACATCATTACAAACGACGTTGGCCAATAATAACTCTATCTAGGACTGTATATTTGTGTAGTTTTTGTGCTATCGCATTGGAAAATAATTTGGCATAAAACATGTCAATTTTTGGTCAAACTTTATGAAAATACAATTAATATGTCCAAATAAACCCCAATAAATGTAAAATATCGTAGTTCAAACTTAGTTGGGAAAAAGTTGACTAATTTCTTTCCCAAAGCATGGCTCTCTGGGACCTAGCTATCTCAAAAGGCCCAATTGTACATATAAAAACATATGGATTTATTATGAAGATAAACAAAAATTTAAAAAAAATCATGAATTTTCAAAAAATTTCGAAAAGAGGATTTTGGTAAATATCATTTTTAAGTCACCAAAGGGTCCCGAAACTGCAATCAGTTTTTGGCGGCATTTTTATGTGACTTAAACTTCGTTCAGGCACACCGCCCAGATAGCACAAAGGTATACTATGGACGTCCAATGGACATATGCTCGTGGACGTCTGTATGTACAGAGGATGTCCATTTTTTTTCTATGGACGTCCCATGGACATCCGTTTAGAGTCCAGATGTCACAACTTTGGACATCCATAAGTCGTCCACCGATGGACGTCTATAAGGTGTTTGAACCATTCCTCCAGCATCCAGGACTTGCTTTAACTGTTTTTTGCGACTGTATTTTCATTGCGATGTTGCAGAAAATTTTCTACAACATGACTGAAATGCCTTTTGTCTGGCTCAGTAACAATCCCACTAGGAATATAAATATTCTAAAAGTTGTTAAAAGTTACAACATTCAATGTTGAACATTGCAGGAAATCCTTGTATTCGACTCAGGAACATTACATTTGCAATACTACAAGTGTTTAACATTTCATTGATAGCTTAAGTCCTTTATAGCACGCGCTTGCTTGAACGTCAGTGAGATTGATCATAACTGTTGTTATGCAGCCAACAATACGTTTCAACTTGCATTTCTGTAATAATAATTATGGACGTAAAATGGACACTATATGGACGTCCATTAAAATCGTACAAAGGATGTAAATATATGGACGTACATAGTACATCCATTTTTAGTCCGTGGACCAATGTACTTAAAATGGATCTTAAACGGACGTCCATTGGACGAATGGTGCTATCTGGGCGTAACACATCACATAAAAATGCCGCCAAAAACTGATTGCAGTTTCTTGTTCGGGACCCTTTGTTTACTTAAAAATTATATTTACCAAAGTCCTAGCTGCTCCCCTTTTCGAAATTTTTTGAAAATTCATGATTTTTTTAAATTTTTGTTTATCTTAAAGTCTACCTTTGGCAGCTCTAGCTACTGTAGAGTACACATTTGTACACCGATTTTTATAATATTGGGGTATATTGTAAAGGAGATTTGGAGAATACTTTTTTATACTGTGCACATCATTTAATATATACAGGGTTAGCCAAAAGTCGCTTCTTTTAATAAAGCGAAAGCGTAAATTCATGATTTTGGCATAACACGCAAAAAATATGTTTTTTTAGATATTTTTATGTTTATCAGGCTACAAAACATTTTTTGGAGATAATTTTTTTTTGTGCATTATGCTTTTTACTATATAAAAAAGTGATTTTTGGCTAACCCTGTATAAATCTAATGATGTGCTCAGTATGAAAACAGTATTCTCCAAGTCTCGAGACTCCAATATTGTAAAAATCAGTGCACAAATGTGTACTCTGTCAAAGGCAAGATAAACAAAAATAAAAAAAATAGAATTTTCAAAAAATTTCGAAAAGAGGAGCTCCTATAGCTATAGCTGCTACACTGAGAAAAAAATGGGACAAATAAACTGTGTAGCTAATACTTTTATTTATAGTGAATATATTGTTTATTACCTCTAAATAGTCGAAATAATAACGATAAATTTATATTAATATACTTTAGTAAAACTTTATGTGTTGGGAATAAAAATATATTTAGGATAAATAAACTGTACCCTTGTCCCATATTTAAATATTTTTTTTATTTGGGAGCAATAAACTTTTTTCTCAGTGTAGCAGCTAGGATTTTGGTAAATATCAATTTAAAGTTACCAAAGGGTACCGAACAAGAAACTGCAATCAATAAAAATCGGTGTACAAATGTGTACTCTAGCAAAGGTAGAGTTTGCGATAAACAAATAATTAAAAAAAATGATTATTTAACAAATTTTAAAAAAAGCACAATTTTGGTAAATATCGTTTTTAAATCTCCAAAGAGTTCCGATTAAAAAACTTTAACCGGTTTTTCGTTCAAAATTGAAAACTACTAAAAAGCCTAAATTAAACAACATTTTAAATATTCTCTAAGCGTTATTTTATTTAATTTTATTAAAAATCTATTTTTTATAAAAGTTTAATAAGAATGCCATTTTGTAACCTGCAGGTCATGATAAACGTAGAAATATCTAAAAAAAAAATGGGGATAAATCTTTTTTGCGTGTTATGCCAAAATCATGAATTTACGATTTTGCTTTATTAAAAATAAGCGATTTTTGGCTCACCCTGTATACATCATTTGATATCAAATGATGTGAACAGTATTAAAAAGTATTCTTTAAGTCTCCTCAATAATATATTACACATTTGAACACCGATTTTTATAAAATTAGAGTATATAGGTATACTCTAATTTTATAAAAATCGGTGTACAAATGTGTACTCTAGAGACAGCTGTCAAAGGTACTTTGAAATAAACAAAAATTAAAAAAAAACATGAATTTTCAAAAAAATTCGAAAAGCTCTAGAGGAGCAGCCAGGATTTTGGTAAATATAATTTTTAAGTCACCAAAGGGTCCCGAACAAGAGATTTTGCAGTTAACTGCAATCAGTTTTTGGCGGCATTTTTATGTGACTCAGAGATAGTTGCTGGTCAGCGTATTTTACTAATTAAATTTATAAATATCACAATTAATTAAATATATTCATGAGTGCATGATAAAATTAATTATCTATAGATAATATTATTATTGTATGTAGAGCATAAAGGAATCTATAAATGAAGTTAAATTGTTAAATACACAATGAATATCTACTATTGCCTGAAAAGTTTTGATTATATTCAAGGATGTAGATATGCTTTTATCAACAAGCAATAACAACAAATAATTTAAATAATTTTCCCTGTTGAGTGCTTGCAGTTAACTAAGTACTGTCTGTCCACTCTAAGTTGGCGGAACTAAGGAATTTTGTAATTTAGATATTAAAGAATTGTCGTACTGTGTGCTTTTAAAACAGATTTTATATTATAAATAATACTAGTAGATATTATATACTAGTATTATTTATAATATAAAATCTGTTTTAAAAGCACACAGTACGACAATTCATTAATATCTAAACAACAAAATTCCTTAGTTCAGCCAACTTAGAGTGGACAGACAGTAGTTTGTGACGTGCGCTTCAAATAGATTTGGTGCGTCGGTTTTGAAATTCCCACCCTCGTTTTAGTTTTAGTGGGTTGCGCGCCCTGCCGTTTGACAGTTGCTTTAGAACTCTTGAAATGTCAGGGGTTTATTTATAAGATTTCAAACGTTTAATTAAACTGTTTAACTGATTAATATGTAAGCCTAAAATAATGCTCCATGAAGGACATGCAGTGCAAATTTATTTTATTCATTGAAAGTATCGATTTTTATGTTACTTAATTATTAGTGAAGATGTCTGGAGTTTTTGGTTATAGTCGGGAAGCTGTCAGAGTTAAAGTTAAGGTAAGCGGTAAATAAATAATGCGTAAATTATTGATTTTAATCTAAACTTTCTGTTGTAGAAATGTGAAGGAACACAGCCCCCTGAACTACGAAAGTTCAGTGTGGATCCACAAATTACATCGTTTGAAGTTCTGCAAAGCATTTTAGCCAAAGCATTTGATTTAAAAGGAGAATTTACTGTTTACTATAAAGTTAATGATGTCAGTGGTTTTGAATCTTACATGCCTTTACTTTCAGATTGGGATTTGGATGCAGCATTTTTAAAGTAAGTAATTAATTTTGGTTTTTATTTGACCAGTCTATTACATGTATGTTATTAAATAAAAGTTTTAAAGGTATATAATAATTATATGGTATTTTATTAATTTTTTGGAGAATTTCTTATAATTCCTTACTTGGTTGGTCTTCCATCTAAAAATGTAGTTTTTGAAATAATATTTTTTTTATTTTATTATTTATGTAATATCCACTCTAATTATTCATATAACATTGTTAAACAACAGTAAACTTTTGATATTTTTTTATCTATTGTACTTTGCATAAATTTCAACTTATTTTTTTGTGTCAACATAAATTTATTTATTAAAGGTTGATGACTTCTTATTTAATTAATCAGTGATATTTTTTATTTTAGAACTCACAATCTATCAGTTATCACAAATTCAGAGCCGTGTCTTTGTTTGCGAGTGGATTTAAGGCCTTTTGAAGAATATTCAGATGATTGGCAGATTAAACACAATGCTCCAATTACCACTCAAATTAAAAATATTCAGGAAATTAAAAGTTCTCAACGGTTGCATGGAATTTTTAATCAGGTAAGGAAAATTTAAACAAGTATATAATTTATTAAGTTATTGAAAATTTAAACAAGTATATAATTTATTAAGTTATTGATACCTAAACTAAACGCTAGTTCAATTAATTACATTTACACCAGAATTTAATCATTATACTGGTTACAACCACATAATTAAATATAGATATAAAACTATATAACAAAGTGTATAAGCTCGCTATTAAAGTAAAACTTATAAAGAAGATGATAGGAATTGTTTTAGAGTAATGATTAGGGTTCTGTTGTTATTAGGTATATCATTGATTTAAATATTTTATTATTTTTCCACATAAACAAAATTAATAAATAAAATTAAACTTATAGGAAAAGTTCCATATTACTATTAGTTTAATTTTATTTCAATGTTTTTACATGGATAACTTGAGAAAATAATTTTTTGTAGTTTTGCATTTTTTTACTTAAAATTTGTCAATAAAATTTAGTAAAGGGTCTTTTTAGGGGTGGTGAATCCAGTGCCTTGCTTAGATTTTGTTTAAAAAATCGCTAATATGAATTATTACTCTTAAAAACTCACATATTAGGCCTAGTATTTTGTACTTATATGGCCTTTTTTTGCAGTTTATCAAGATCTACACTTTAAAACAAATCCGATTAAAATCGCACAATAAATAAAGATTTTACAGGGGTGAGTCGCAAACAAATGGGTCACACTGTATATATATATATATATATATATATATATATATATATACAGGGTGTTATGTAATTAATGTTATATATTAAAATACTGAATACCTTTTGACATAAGGAATAAAGGAAAAATATTTTAAAAAGCATTTTTCCAAAGATAAAGAAAAAATATGCATTAGAAGTTTTTTATATTTTTTGTGATACGCCACTGGTTACACACTTGTTTATCTCTGCACACCTGTATTTTGTGAGTACAAAGATACCAACCAACAAAGTAGCTATGCATTGCCAGATGTAAAAATTTGTTACTAAAAATTTTTCTTGCAAAAAACAAATAAAAACTCAATAAATACAAAAGTTTTATGCCCTTAAAGCTCTAATACCCTTCTGTATTTATTTACTGATCCAGCTATTAGCTTAAGCAATGATTAGAAAATTTAGTACCTTTGAAATTTGAAATCCATAACCACAAAATTAATTTTTTCATCAGTTTTTTTCTCTGTTTACTCAGATGAAATTGGGACCAGTTCACAGGTTAAACTTTAAACATTTAATTTGTGTAAATAAATCCAAAAGCACTTCCCTTAGTTAAGATATTTACAATTTGAAAACATAACCTAAAATTTAAAAGAAATGCACTAGATTCTGTCATAAAAGTTGTCAGATTTTGTTTGAATTTACCTTCAGTACAAAAATGAAATAACCAACAATTAATAAAAACGCCAAATTGACAATTTGCATTGTTAATTTTGTCATTTTTGTAATTAAGCTAAATTTAAACAATGTTTGTCAACTTTTTGAGAGATTTTGGAAAAACTGTTGTTACCAACCATAACATAATAAATCCACCAGATTAACCTAAAGTTTCTAGTCGATCAGTGGCGTACTTTTTGGTAGGATAAAGGTTATTATAAATTATTTTTAGACTTTGGAATTTAGAAAAAAAAAGTTTCAGGTGCTTCTTTATGGACCCTAAGGAACAACCCATTTTAATATATAACATTAATTACATAACACCCTGTATATATAATAACTAATTAAATAGCAACGTTTAAAACCACAGGCAACCTAAATTAAAAAAAAAATGTATTTAAAAAAATAAACGTAGAATTTGATAGATATTATAATAGATAGATAAAAAGATATTATAATAATAGATATTATTTTATTTGTTATTTTAATATGCATGGATGGCAAATAGGTACCATTAAATAAAAATTACAAAAGTCAAAACGCTTGGACATTTAAACTTTAGTTTTTATTTTAAATGTTATAATTTTAATGTAAAAAAATGAAAAAGACTTTTTTTTCAAATGTGCTACAATAAAGCATATTCTGTCAATAAATAACATCAATCTTAAAAATGGAGTATTTTTTCAATATGAAATTTTGAGCAAAATGTATAATAATAATAATAAAATGAAACGAGGCGTATACTGCAAAAGCGGCCTAATGGAAAAAATCATTTTGTGGTTTTATCTATAAATATTCCTATTATCGAGTGGTGTATCAATGCACCACAGGTTAATAAAAGAAGAGATTGTACTTAAAGTTATATTCCTTTATTTTGTTATCTATATTTAATTTAATATTTATCTAAACAAGTAGGTATTTTTAATATCTTATTTCCTCCATATCCATTAATATCTTTCTTATAATTTCTTATTTTATTATCTTTCTTCTTATATCTTTCTTCTTGTATAATTTCCTTTTATATTATCTGTATGTTATTTATATATGTTTTATATTGGTTATTTTATTTAATATTTTATGATTATGATTCTTTTTATTTTATATATTTTTTATTATTATTAAGTTATATTATTTTTGTTATAGTTATCATGGATAACTATTTTTTAATATAAAAGTATCAAAGATATTATCGATAGTCTTAAGTTGAGACTCTCAACTAACAATAACACAAAATAAAGGTTATGTAACCAAAGTCACATCCACAATTAAACCAACCCAAGGCGCAATATTTGGCGCCAATAGTAAGTAAAAAAATTACTCTACAACGCCTTTACCAATCTTAATGAAATTTTGTATAAAAATACTTCAACTTATATCTCAGTTTACGTGTTTGAGGGTTTTTCGAGAAAATGTTTTTAAATCCCTTTTATTTAATAATAAAAAAACGTTCGAAAAATAAGTTTTAGGGATTTTTTTAAGTAAATAAAAAATATGCTGCTAAAGACCGTATTTTCGTTAGTATACCCTAAAAATTTTGTACAAATCAAACGAACAGTAACGAAGATACATCGCTTCAAAGTCGGTAAAAATGACCCCTTTTTGTATTTTTGGTACTGTTTGTTTGATTTGCACAAAATTTTCAAGGTATACTAACAAAAATTCGGTCTTTCACACAATATTTTTTATTTACTTAAAAAAAATCCCTATAAAAGTTTTTTTTCAAGCGTTTTTTATCATTAAATATTATTAAATATTAAGGATATTTTCTCGAAAAACCCTTGAACACGTAAACTGAGATAAAAGTTAAAGTATTTTTATCCAAAATTTTATAAAGATTGGTAAAGGCGTTTTAGAGTTGGATTTTTGCGTTAATTTTGACGCGCAGTGTATATAGAAATAAATGCGCCTTGCGACGAGACTCTCGTCCTACATATCAATATATTTTTAGATAGTGTGTTGTTGATTAAAACAGAATAAATAATTATTATCTAATTATTAAATAAATTGTACAGATCAAGATATTTTTAGATACTGTGTGTTATTGAATAAAACAAAGGTTTTTAATATTATTTAGGTATTTATTTATTTTTTTGTGTCTAGATGGGCAAAACACTCAATTTGGTGCAAAAAGCCTTTAACTTTGGAGAAGATGGCGCCACTTCATTTATTCAACCACCACGACCACCTCTATCTGATGCTGAATTTCGGAAATTTCTTGATCCAGTTGGACAAATAGGTACAAAAATATATTGATGCCATAAGGGTTGTTTTTTAGTTTTTTAATTTGTTGGGTTTGGTTTGTTTTTTCATTCAATACGTTGCAAGTAGAGACCAGAAAATATGCAAATGTATACTTGGTTGTTTTTACAGATTTAAGCATTATCGCGGGCGAAATTTTTAAATAATATTCTTAAATATAGCATCTAAGAACTGCCTAGTAACCTGGGTGGACATGAAGCGTTCATTTACAATTTATAAAAACATTTAAAAAAATTGGAGGCACAACCTTACAACATAAAATTTCGAAGGTTATGATTGTAAACATTTACAATAACAAACATTACCTATTATATTATATTTTTTTAAATTTTTAAACCTACCTTGCCCTGCATATTTCAAGCATTTTTTATTTATTTATTTATTGAATGCAAATGCAATAATTTTACTTTGCATATAATCCGGTATTTAATTAAGTGTCAATAAATGTTGCTTTTTGAAATTATGATTATAATAAATTAGGATTGTGATCGTTGTAGATTTATGAAAGACTACTTTAATATTTAAAGTTAGAAATAATTTTTCTTGAATAGTGTGTCTGTTTTTTCCTTTCTACTCTAAATTTAGCGCTGGGACGCTTAGGTCCCTTTTCTTGGATCGCGTCACAAATATTGCAAGTTCAGGGTTTTAAATTATCCAAGTAATCAAAACTTATATTATTAGTCTAATAACTTATCTACTCCTATTGCATAATATTGTGTTTTTTCGTATATATGCATTATATTGCCGCATTGCACTCCTATGATTTAGGAGATGAGTCAAGTTTTAGTTTTTAAGCTGTTTACACTGACTCTGTATCGACTATAATAGACTGCATTATCTATCATATAAAAATATGATAGTTTTACAAACTTTTTTTTCTAACATTAAGTACTCCAGCTTAGTTGAATTAGTTTTTTCTGGGGCGTCTAGGATTTAAAATAATTTCGTAATAAAATGCTCTGCTCAATCACCTCAAAATGTAAGTTTTTTGTTGGTATTTTAATTATTTATTAAATTATTTTTGCCTTAATTTATCTTGAATGTACTAAAGTAATTGGTATACGGCAAATAGATCATATTTATCTTAACAATATGACTAAAATTGTAATGTATTTTATGTAAAAAACAACCATTATTTGACATTTTTTGTCGTTTATTTTAGTTATTAAATTAAAAGGGCAACAAAGTAAACGAGTTTCAGTATTTTTTATCCAAATTAAGCCCTCAAAATTTAATGTATTGCATAATTTTGCTTTTTTTCTACCTTAAATAATTTAAATTATTTATTAAATCGTATCAAATATCAAATTGGGTTATAGTATTATTGTGCTTAATCCTCAACATCGTCGTACATCTTTTGCTGCAAATTCCAGCAAATGTCTCCTAGCAATGAATCCAACTTCTTTCCGCCATACCCATAGACCAATGCTCTAGATTTGCAGTTACTTCGTGAAATCGTTCTCCATGTTCATCAGTTCGGCAAATTTATCAGGATGAAAAAAAAAGAAAATGTATTTTAATTGACGCTAATTCTTTGCAAAACGGAAAGCATTTTTTCAATGAATTGGCGCCAATTTTAGGCCCGATATGAACCAAGAAAATTTTCAATGACAGCTGTATCACTGCCATATGCGACAAGCTCGTCAACTTTGAGAGCATTTTTGAATGCTTGATCTTTCATTAAACGTCCATTTAATATTCCTGAAAAATTAAAGTAGTAGGTATATCTCATAAAATTTTGTAATGAAATATTGCGTTGGTTTTTCTTGGGTGTAAAGGTACCGCAACAAAAACAGAACAAATTTACAACGGCGACATAAATGTTCGTCTCCTTTCTCTTTCTCTGCCACTTCCATTTCCTACTCTTTTTTCATTTTAGGTTCTTAAAATCACTTTCAAGAAAAAATACAATTTTAAGTTTAAATTTTAAATGTCAATAATTAATAGATGCACTTTAGTGTGCTTGAAAAGTAGATAAAGACGCCTTTATACTTCAATTATTAAATTATGATAAGACTTAATAAATAAAATTCGAGATTAAATTTTTGAGTACTTTAGGCATGAATAAAAACATATCAAATAATAGTCGAAGAGTAATGCTTATACCGAAACCCATTTACTTTGTTGCCTTTTCAATTTAATTAGTAATTAAAAAACGATAGAAAAATTTCAAAAAATGATACTTTTTACCAACAAACCATTAAAATTTTAGTTTTGGTATTAAATAAAGCACTTCTCTGCAGAAAAGTGCTTTATTAAATATCCCTTATATAATACTACTATTGTACAGTGCTTACAAATCCAAGTCCGACCGCACTGGAAAGGACGGCTGTTCAATACCCGCGTGAAAAGAATAAGGATAGAATGCCAAACAGAATTTGATTGGTCAGAGCGTCAGGCGTGCGTATTGTAAGCGCCTTCTGTTTGGCGTTCTATCCTTGTTATTTTCACGCGTCCTTCTCAAACCGGTCGGACTTGGATTTGCAAGCACTGTATATGGCTATAATGGAAAAAAAATTCTATTTGACATTTATCTACCGATAACTTTGTATAGAGTCCCTATATATTTTTGACAAAAAACGTCAAAAATAAACTGAACATCCAAAATAGATTTAAGGCAAAATAATTTAATAAATAATCAAAATATTAACGAAAAACTTACATTTTGAGATATTTGGGCAGATCATTTTATTACGCAATTATTTCGAATCCTAGACGTCCTGGAGCAATACGAGTGGCATTTTTTAAATCAGCAGCCCAAAGGTAATGTAGGTGGGCGCAAAGATAATACACCCCATAGATTGGAAACTGCACTAGCGCTAGTGGCAAAAGGCTAAAGTAAATTAACGCCATCTAGGTCTACAATACCCTTAGCAATGCCAAAAATTGAAGTAGATTTCTGTAACATATATTGACGCCATATTTGAATGTTGATGCTTAGTAGGGCGCCTTTATATATTGTATTTACTGCTGTATTTTAAATAAAACAAGTATGAATATAAGATTTATTTATTGTAGTAATAATATAATATAAAATAAAATACATATATCTATATTTACATATTAAATACATAATCAGTATACATGAATATGTTTTTTGTTTGGGAGTGCAAACCTAAAAAATATTAGTCTTAACTCTTCAATAATAAGAGAATATTGTAAAATTTGGTAATTTAGTCCAGGCTACTTATACATATACATACATATATAGGAATTTGTACAAGGCTTTTGAGTGAGGAATTTTGGCCTGGACTAAATTACCATTAAACAAGCAATCCCAAATAATTCATAATTAACAAACAGTATTTTTACGCTAGAGCGATACTCCCGTGCTTAGCCAAAAATACGCAACTCCACATTTTTACTTTATAAATTATAGCGCTTTATTTTTTTTTTCATAAGATACGTTCAATTTAATTAGAAATTTTTAGGAGATATAGTACTTAAAAATGTATGTATAGTTAAAAAGCGTCTTTTTTGCTACGAGAATAATTTAATAATGAGATGAGTCTTTTAGGACGGCAGGATAGTCAATACTTACAAATTGGTTACATTTCTGCACCCAACAACAATATAATTTACAATCATTAACACGTTTTATCACTTTTAAGGCGCAAAAATGTATTTAATTATTCAAAAATTATGATCGACATCAATAATTATGATTGACATTGACATTTGCAAATAGCGTTGGTACGGATGTCTGCAATTTACAAATAGATATAGTTCAGGTATTGTAGCTCTAGAGGGCAGTGGTGGGAGAGTTTCCAATCTATGGGGTGTATTATCTTTGGGTGGGCGTACTCAATGTTAGTAATTCGTAGTAGTACCTATCATAGTGTTATTGTTAAGACCAAACAAAATTAATTGTAACGTAATTGCAAAGGTCATGCCAAAGAGCTCCGTTCGGTGATCTACTTCGGAGGCATCGAACCGAGTTTGCGGAAGGTCGTGTGGAAACACTTGCTGAACGTTTATCCGCACGGCATGACCGGCAGGGAGCGCATGGACTACATCAAGAAGAAAGCGCTCGAGTACGAGGGACTGCGCGAAGCGTGGAAAACCGCCATCGCGCAGGGCCCGGTGCTCGGAGAGCTGGCCTACACCACCGGAATGGTAAGGAAAGACGTCCTCAGAACCGACAGGCATCATCCGTACTACGCGGGCAGCGACGATAACCAACATATTGCTTCCTTATTTAATATTCTTACCACGTAAGTATCCCACAACTAATTTTACCCCTTTAATTGAATATTGCGGCTAAGAAACATTATTTTTGGTAGTATACCATCAGAATCCACTAAACTACAGTGGCGGCTGGTGGATTTTGGGCACACCCAGTTATTAGACATGGGACCCACATCAAATTTATATGTGTTTATAATGACATTATATAGACAAGTTCTGCGCAAGCAGAATTTAAATTAAAGTTTGCGAAAAAGTTAGTTTTTAAGTGTAGGGTCCCTGAATATTAGCCCTAGGTATTCTATTTCTTCTACTTTGCCTAAAGTTGCTCGATTGATTTCGATGTTGATGTTGTATTCTTTTGTTAGTTTTTTACATACACTCACAGGCAAAATAATCGATCCACACAAATTTTCGATGAATTTCAATCGCAAATAACTTTTTTATTTGATGTCGGATTTAAACGAATATTAAAGAATATTGTAGATAAATTAATGGACAATCGCCCATATTTTAAAAAATTACTAAAAAATTGACGTACGTTTATAATATACAACAAAAAGATGTTTTTTACAATAAGTTTAAGACACTCTGTAGAGTGGCAAAACCGTATATTGTTCTAAATTAAGTTTTATTTATCAAGTCACGTCTATTCTTAACAGTTTTGTTTTTGGTTCACCTCGATATATTTATTTTTGTGGAAATTTTTTTAGAAAACATTGCAATTTTCAATATTTTTCTGTATGAAGAATTAAGGTTGCTCTGGTCCATCCATAGGCTATGAAGAATGACAGTGACAGTTTTGTTGAATCATCCCATACTTGGACATGTCATACACGGCTTTCAAAAGCTATCAAATTGTTTTTTGCAAATTAATGTTTAAATTTTGAGGTATCTTCTTACTTTAAAAAATGGATATGTCTCCGACTGATGTTGCCAGAGCCATTAATTTAATCCAGGATGGATGGTCACAGTATTACGTGGCAAGAGTTTTAAACGTCACAAGAAGTAAAGTACAAAGGGCAACATCAGTCGGAGACATTTTTAAAAGTAAGAAGACACCTCAAAATTAACACATTAATTTACAAAAAACAATTTGATAGCTTTTGAAAGCTGTATTTGACATGTCCAAGTATGGAATGATTCGACAAAACTGTCACTGTTATCTTCCATAGGCTATGGATGGACCATAGCAACTTTAGTTCTTCATACAGAAAAAAAATTGGAAATTGCAATGTTTTTTTTAAAAAAATCCATATTTTCCACAAAAATAAATATATCAAGGTGAACCGTGAACTGTTAAAAATAGATCTGACTTGATAATTAAAACTTAATTTAGAACAATATACGGTTTTGCCACTCTACAGAGTGTCTTAAACTTATGGTAAAAAACATCTTTTTGTTTAAACCTGTATATTATAAACGTACGTGTATTTTTTAGTAATTTTTAAAATGTGAGCGATTCTCCATTAATGTATCTACAATATTCTATAATATTTGATAAATCCGAAATCAAATAAAAAAGTTATTTGCCATTGAAATTCATCGAAAATTTGTGTGGATCGATTATTTTGCCTGTGAGTGTATATGAATCAGGTTGCATTTTTAAAATTATGATAACTAAAAATCTGAAAAAACTGTACTATTATAAGGTAGAAGTCTGCTAAGTTTCGTATTTTTTGAACAGTTACTTTGGCCGGATTAAAAAAATGGTTATTTAATGACATGTTATTCAGATGTATTCAATGTATTTTAAGAGACAGTTGTTTATTTTAGTTTCGTTAAGTTCTAAACACTAATTTTATTGGGGCTGGCCTCTTAAGTTGATGCGTATATTATATTTTCTGACATTCTTGCTTAATTGTTGGTTTATTTACACTGTTACGCTGTTTTTACAGTAATAATGATTGATGTTTTTTTGCATATTTGCGTGATAGGTCATACTTAGTAGGTACTTATCAGATTTTGGAGCTGATGGTCCCTTTCACTCGTTTGTTCTTTATTGTTCTTTACATAAGGTGATTAATATTGGCCTGTGGTTAGTCCGCCAGGTATGCTGTCACTTAATTACTTCTGTGTCCGTATGGTCGTTATTCACTTTTTAAAAGATTGCTTTTTAATGCACTAATTTAGTGTTTCTATTAAGACTTTGGAGAGTTCACTGATTTCACCTGCGAAGGCAGTAAGTCTTTGTAATAATTTCTCACAGTATTTTTCTTGAACTACACTGTATATGAGCGATTTTTATTTTCTTTAAGACTTTTATTATTATTAGGTACACTTAAAAGCGTATGAACAACCCTAGTTTTTACACAGGGTGTCCTGAAAATGGATTATTAAATGAGTTTTTATCCTTTGGAACGTATACATATTTTCAGTAACAACTTCTGCTTTGTGGGGTCACAAAATGATGAAGGAAAAACTAGGACAATTCCTTTTTATTTACAAAAATATCGTTATGAATTATATATTTTATTGAGCTGGATTAATTCAAATATCAGAGGTACAGTGGCGGACGACGATCATCCTGTTGACATCAAAATCTTAACTGCCTTTATTATCATTAGTCTTGTCATTTTGACAGCGAAAGCAAAAATGGTCTTTGCTGTTTACAGATTGGACAACCAAATTATGTCGTTCAAATTTTTTTGTCTGCCACTACAAGATTCATAACAGGTTACCTTTGTAGAAATGTTTTTACAGGAGACGATTTACATCTTTACTTGGTGGACAAGCCTTGCATCGCTTTCTTGTTGTTTTAGTTACGCGCCTTGACATATGAGCTGTGACCAAACAATATGTTTGTAAAAAGTTTTAAAAACACGTAACTTTGGCAAATTATCACTACTACATAGTTGCAAGGATACACGGAAACATAATCAATTATAATTTTTTTGTGAATTCCACTTGCTCCAAAAGATAAAATTGTCTAATGGCGTTTCAAAAAGTTTGTTAATATACGCTAAAGAAGTATCGCTAAATACACATTTTAGTCATGATTAACGTGAAAAGTGTAAACATTTTAATTATTAATAATAATAATAATAATTATTTGTTTGACGATTATTATAATCGTCAAATTTAAACATCATTTAGCATTATTAAAAGCGTTTATTAAGAATTCTTTAAAGTCTCCACTCAACGGTAAAATACCATTATATTATGTATGATATATAATATTATGTTGTCATGAATTCGTAGAAATATTTTGTTGTTTAAAATGCAGTTGTCGGCGTTTTTTAGAGAACTCAAATATAAAAATGGTTGATTTTAAGGTTATGTTTGTGCAAAAATTCTTTTTTACTAATTTCTTAAAAATGTCCAAACTTAAATATAAATTATGTTAAGTAAAGTTATCATTAGTTAATTCTGCACCAACAAATGTACTTACCGAATTGGATCCTTTGGCAAAACATGAAAACGCAACGATTTAGTTCTTGAATTTTATTTACAATTAAAAACATAATAATTCACCATGATCCCTTAGATAAAATACACACACTAACCTAACTATACAAGCATTTAAGCGTTGAGTTTCTTAATCAATGATATAAGGAATAATCAATCGAAATCGAGTACTAAAAAAGTTTTTTAATTTTTTCCTTGCAACGTAAAGCACAAATAACGTGCGCGATTTAGATGTGTAATTAAACAGACTTCTGTCTTCATCTCTTTTGTGAAAAAACTAGCTATTTTTTTAAAAATGATGTACAGTTCGTATGCTTTAAATGTATTGTTGGCAATTCTTAAATTCACGTAATGCTTTTGAAGTCCACCAGATGGCGCGCGCGTTGCGAAAATCCGATACTTCTTTAGCGTATATAAATAATCAATTTTTTAAACGAACTTCCTTCAAATAATGTTTTTAAAATGATTTTTGTTTCGTTATCTTTAGATATGCTTTAAATCACCCAAAGGTCAGCTACTGCCAAGGTATGAGTGATTTGGCTTCTCCTCTGTTGGTGACCATGGATGATGAAGCGCATGCTTACATTTGTTTTTGCGCTCTTATGGAACGATTGTGTACGAATTTCATGATAGACGGTATCGCAATGACGCAAAAGTTTACGCATCTAGCCGAGGGACTGATGTACTACGATCCAGAGCTTTATAGTTACCTAAAAATGCATCAGGTAAAACTACTGTTTGATTAAAATATTATTTTCGTTCAAAGTTTATTTATTTTTCAGGCCGACGACTTATTGTTTTGCTACCGATGGTTATTATTAGAAATGAAAAGGGAGTTTGCCTTCGAGGATTCGCTGAGAATGTTGGAAGTGTTGTGGAGCTCGCTTCCCGCAGATCCTCCTGAAAAAGAGCTAAAATTATTCGATACACAATTTCAGCCGCTTCAAAAATCCACTCCGCCAATCAGCCCTTTAGTTAAAACCCCCCGCGAGAATGCCTACACGAAAGTTTGCGCCCTGCGCAGACAAAGTTCCTCCGTGTCGCTCATAAATTACACGGGTAAGAAAGTGAACACGGTTAAAAGGCAAAATCATAGCTTGGACGAGACCATCGGTAGATGCAGAAACAACATTCTCGACGGCAAAAATAAACATCAAAGTTTGGACGACGCCGCATTAATAAACAAATCTCCGCAACACAAATCCCTCAAAGACAATTCCTTCGAGTCTCCTAGCAAATCGCAACTGCGGCCTAGATCGGTTTCACCGCTCGAACAGAAATCGGATTCGGTCCTTCTCAACAACCGCATCAATTCCACTCAACTGGTCGCGAAATCGAAAGCGGCCAGCCTCTCTTCCAGCATGTCGAATCTAATCAAAAACAACAAAAAGGCGGGGCATTTTAAAGACCTGAAAGATCGGATAGCCGCCGCCAAATTGTTCTCCTCGTTGGATCGCCTGGATAACTCCAACCAATCGATAAAAGAGGAGACGGAGAGAAGACCTAAAACCAAGATGGTTAAGAATCTGAACGAATTCTTGAACTTTGCGACCGTCAACAAAAACAAAATTTCCGATAAACTGTCTTCGATGAGCAGCATCGATAGCAGTACGAACGATAAACCGAAAATTTTGCTCACCAAATCGAGTTTCGACGATTCCGAAAGTTCCAGTTTTGATCGTAACTCTTCCATGAGAAATTACTCATCAGCTTCGAATAGTTGCGATGATACGTTCGACGAATGCAGCCCTGACGACTCGCAGGAGTATTTCCCGTTGACCACTTCCGTCACTAGAGAGTTGAAATTGGAAATGGAAAATTTGGACAGGAAAGTTTTCGGGGATAAATTTATCGGAAGGCTTTCGGAATCGCCGTCCAGTGAATGCAACAGCGAGATGCTCAAAACGGAGAAAGATGTTTCCACTAAGCCTGAGCTAAATGTGGAGGATAAACAACGTGATGACATATTTATTTGGGAAAACCCACTGCATCAAACGAGCCCGAATGTTGGGAAAAACATTCCGAACTACATGCCCACCCCTGACGAGCAAGCCGACATCGAGTTCGACGACGACACGCCGACAATCGTGAACGAAACTTCGGCGACCAAGACTGTAACACCAATCAAAATCCTTAACGTAACCCAGCCGACCAAATCGACGATTATAGAAAGTAAAACGAACGAAGAGGAAATCGTTCCGACTGCGAAAATGGACAATATAACTGTGAACGGGGTTGTGAACATGACGAATTCTTGCGAGGAGGTGACGGAGCTGATAAATCGTCAATCCTCGAAGTTGCTTCCGCCTCCGAACGAATTCGGCGGCGGCAATCCTTTCCTGATGTTTTTGTGTATAACTGTGCTGCTGCAGCACAGAGATCACATCATCAGCACGGCCATGGACTATAACGAGATGGCGATGCATTTCGATAAAATGGTGAGGAAACACAATGTTATACGAGTTTTGAATCAGGCCAGGCAGATGTACGCTAGGTACATCAAACAGCATACCATTGCACTGCAAAAAATTGATTTCAAACACGAGGACTGTTAATTTTTTTATTCATTTTCATTCTCTACACTTACTTACTGTGATATTTTGTTTTTATATTTACTTATTAGTATTATGGACTATGTTATTTTTTTGGTTTATTTAATAAATTGTGCCTATGACAAACATATTATTGCAATTATTTTTTACCTAAAAATAAACATAACCACCTAAGCCATTCTCTAAGACATAAAATTTAAGACGTGGGAACTATTTCCCGGGCCCTAAAATCATTCCAGCTCGCGCCTGATCATGTACTGCTGGTTTATTACAATTATTTTAATAATAAAATTTCATAAATACCTACCTTAAAACATACTGCTATCTAATATAACTAGGAGTTATTAACTACTGATTAATTTCATCTGAAATAAATTTATATCCTTGGCATAAAAACAGAAGAGAATTTGCTTTCGGCACGCGCCTAAAGAGCGGCATGCTTTGTCTTTTGTCGGCTTTACACCGCGTTAATACCTACAAATAAGCCGCATTATTATAAAATAAAAAAAACTAGAATATTCGCTACTCTACCGTACTCATAATTGTTTATTGTTTATTTGATTTCTTTTTGGTAGAAATAAACCATTTGGTAAAGTTTAAATGTAATTTTGCGCTAGAATATCGTTTATTTCTTTGTATCAAGTCAATTTGAAAATAAAAACAACCATTTTTTTAATTAAGTATTTTCGAGAGAAAAAAAAATTAAAAAAGTATTTCTCCACCTAGAATTGAACCCTACTGCGTGGGAGGCCGGTAACCCAAACACCCGACCAATCCGTGTCTAACAATTTATAAGCTAATTAAATAATTAACGTAAAGAACGTACTTGGAAATTGTAATTGGAAATTGGATAAAAATAAATGTTTATTGCTTTTAACAATTAAAATGATCTTTTATTCTTTATTACTCTTATTTTACACACTTTTATTGCAGCAGCTTTAACTCCAAAACGAAAAAATATAGACTCGTGCCGTTTTCCCCAAATTATTTGCCATCAAGAAATCATTTTTTCAAATTATATACTTTGTGTCGCTAAAATTACGTTTTCCGCCTCGAAATGCGAACAATTATTTTAAACCTTTGAATAACGTTTGTTATTGTTCTAATTGACGGAATAGAACTATCCGGACATTTAACTAAGAATAGGTCTCTTGTTTGACCAGGGTTCCCTCTCACCTGGAAATCCTTGAAAACCTGGAATAGTCAGGGAATCCGTTTAAGTCCAATAAAATCAGGGAAAAGTCAGGGAATTTTGAAAGTCAGCGCAAAAGTCAGGGAATTTGTTAATATTATGGTGAAAGTCAGGGAAATTTATAAAACGGCTTGTTTTCTGACCCTTTTTCGTTGAAAGTCGCCGTATTGGCAACACTGGTATCGTAAACAATTGTTTTCGTACGGCGCCGATTTTACACAAAAAAATTTTACACATCGCAAAGCAATGCACCTGATAAACAAACGAACAATTAACAATAATTAAAACAATTGTCATAATTAATTTTAAATTGTTAAAGTTTGTTTTGCATTGCTTTGATGAATATGGTATATTTGTATGAATGTATACCAAAGAATGTTTTTTATGTTTGTACCAAAGAATCTATTTTATGTTAAACTGTTTTTATTAAAATTTTATTTTAATTTTTATTATAATATTTAATTTTTAAATAAATATTAACAAAAATAAATGCTATTTTTGACTTAACATAATTCTGATGGGACACTATTTTGGGAGATAATTGTCTTTATGTCTTTCTTTTATTTATCTGGAATTATAGGGACTTTGGTCAGGGAAAACCTGGAAAAGTCAGGGAATTTTAAATGGTTTTAAAAGAGGGAACCCTGTTGACGTAGAGAATTGCCCACTAAAGATCAGCTTATTATGTCAATTTTCTCTTGCAATGTGTAGGAGATTATAACTTATAATTTTAAATAAAAGAAATTAATTTATGTTAAATATAGAGATTGTGAGGGGTCTGGATTTCTTATCACCCTCAAATTAAATGTTCTCTTTCAGAAAATTATCATATTGTGAGGTAAGAGACATTATTAACAGCATTAAAAATAAAAATAGCCGTGATATACATGGTCTAAACATCAAATTAATTAAAACCATTAAAGATTTAATTGTAATCCCTCTTACAAAGCTAATCAACCTATGTCTAAAGGAAGGTACTTTCCCGGGGGTTCTCAAGAGGGCTGTGGTGGTTCCAATACATAAGAAGGGTGACATTGATAAGCCTGAAAACTACAGACCTATCTTCCTGCTGCCAGTAATTTCAAAAATCATAGAGAAAAGCATGGCCAAACAAATATCAACTTTTTTTGAGGAAAATAACCTACTCACTGATTGTCAATTTGGATTTAGAAGGGGAAGAAACACAGTTCTGGGTATAGTAGATTTAATATCAAGCATTCAAAAATCTTTCCAAAACATGGAGTATAATTCTGTCCTATTCTGCGACCTGAGCAAGGCATTTGACTGTGTGGACCACAACATTTTAATTAAAAAGCTCTATTGTTACACTTTTGGTGAAAATAGCATAAATCTGCTTAAATCTTATTTACAGAACAGAAGCCAAGTGGTGAGAGTCAGTGGTGTGTCGTCAGCAGAGAGAGATATCACGGTAGGCGTTCCTCAGGGATCTATTCTAGGACCGCTGCTATTCTTAATATTTATTAATGACTTGCCGAGAAGCGACCCTAGTATAAATTTTACTCTCTTTGCTGATGATACCACACTGTCTCTCAGTGCAAATACACAAACTGATGCAGACGTCAGATTGTCAATAGCTCAGGAAAAGGCAGAAAACTGGTTTAGGGCAAACAAACTCTTATTAAACAAAGAGAAAACCTGCAAAATGATGTTTACCATGCGAAAGGTGGAGCAGGAAGTAGAAAAAAACAAGTTTCTAGGAGTCTATCTGGACCCCACGTTGCTGTGGGATCAACACATAGACTTTATTGCTTCAAAACTTAGTAGGAGTTTGTTTGTCCTAAGAAATCTCATGAACTGTGTTTCCGCTGAAGTTTTAAAAGTGTCGTACTTCTCACTTTTCCAAGCCCACCTTTCATACGCCATTTTGGCATGGGGCCATGCACCTCAAAGTGAAAGGTTGTTTAATATACAGAGAAGGACTATTAGACTGTTGGCAGGTTTAAGCTTTCAGGATGATTGTAAGCAGGCATTTTTGGACATGAACAGTCCCGTCATTGTACATCTACGAGTGTTTAATCCACATACACAAAAATGGTTCTCAATATGTTTCTCATGGAGACGTTCACCAATATGACACAAGGAAACGAAATAACGTAGCACCAATATATTGCCGCCTGAAAAGGTGTCAAGATGGACCTAAATACTGGGGCATTAAATTTTATAATGTACTACCATCAAAAATTAAAGCTTTAAATGAAAAAGACTTTAAAAGGGCTGTTAAACTAATTTTAATTGAAAACGTAATATACACCAAAGATGAGTATCTGAACCTCTTTATTTTGTAGTATATTTTATTCTTTATAATCTAGTAATGTATCTGATATATCTGACTGACTTGTGTATATACATATATGTATTTTAACATGAATAAATTTGATTTGATTTGATATAGCCAACCTATAAAATCAAAATTTTGGGTGTGATAAAGTATCTCATTACAGCACCGAAAGCGGTGTTATAATGAAGTCATTATGAACGCAAAATAGATAAAAAAATTAAATAACTCAACATATGATTATAGTCGATTCCAAGCCATAAAATATAATATGCAGGATTAAAAACATATTTGGCCAGTTCTTATTTAAAATATGGTTTTTTATTTTGTATATTGCATTTTATGTTTAGGAATCGCGGGCAACATAAAAATACAAGTTTTCGAAATTTCTTATGTTAACATAATATTAAAATAGTAATTGGGTCATTTTCAAGAAACACCCGCTCTCAGGAAAATGAAGATCAAAATTTTTTTTTGCTTAAATTGACTTTAGGTTGGATTTTTATAAATGTTTAGAGTTTTGTTTACTTACATTTAAGACTGCCTGTACACTTTTTAATTTTTTTTACGTTTTTTTTTCAGAAAAATGTGTTTAGCTAGCTTTATATGTCCCCACTTTGTTACCAATTTGAAATCCAAAATTTAATTCAATAAAAAAAGTTCTTATAAAAATAATTTGAAATAAAATGTACTTAGTTCACAAACTTTTGACTCCAATTTTTTTTTTAAATTGTATGTTTTTTTAAATATTTATGTTAGTTAAGTTACTTTTTAAAAGACACCATTCCGATTCTTTGTTAAAAAAACAATACCATTAATATTTTCTTTTAGTCACTGTATTAGTGAGTTAAACTCTAATTTATAAACAGGTATTACCAAGTGATAGTAAAATCATTTTAAGGATTTTTTTAACAAAAACTAAAAAAAGTAACGAAATAGACATTGGTATCACAACGGACGGGTACACAAAGGACTTAATCAGATAAAGTAAAAAAGAAACTATATAGGGTGGTACGATTTTAGAGTAATGCATAAACAAAATCCCTTGTAGTGGTGCTCACTTGCAGAATAACAACTTGGATTTCAAAATTATAGACGCCCTTTTTCTTTGAATATAAGCTGGTGTCTTTTGGTACTTGTATATTGCATGGAATTTTCCCTTGGATGTAATTTATATCATGAGTTGTAATCACAAATAATTTTAAATTGGTTTATCATAAACTACTTTTAATAAAAGCGACGGTAAATATCCACTTTATTGTCGAAAAATTCTATTGCGTTACCCTAAATTCCATTGCGTTACCATAAGGTAACGTAATGGACTCTGTAACGCAGTGGACAAAGTTTTGTGAAACCATATTTAAAAAATAATAATAAAACATTTTAGTCATTAATTACTCTCAATGAGCTTTAGTGCCCTAAAATAAACATAAACATGAAAAATAGTATTTTTTCTTACCTTATTTTTAAAATTTTTTTGAGTAACTTAGCGGACAAACAATTATAACATTCGCGTTACCCGCACCTGTTTCAACCGATATCTTTTTCCTGATTGAATAAATAAATTCAGCTGGGTAATGTGTACGTCCAAACATCATTTGTTAATCAGTGCCAAAAAAGTTGCCATTTATATGTTTTT